GGTCTCTTCTCCCAGGCAACCGACAACAGGACAAGGGGACATGGGCTCAAGCTCTGCCAGGGGAGGTTTAGGTTAGATGTTAGGAAGAAATTCTTTACAGAGAGGGTAATCAAGCATTGGAACAGCCTACCCAGAGAGGTGGTGGATTCACCATCCCTGGAGGTTTTTAAGCAGAGATTGGATGTGGCCATTAGTGCCATGATATAGTAATTGGAGTTGGATCAGGGGTTGGACTTGATGATCTTGGAGGTCTTTTCCAACCCAATCTATTCTATGATTCTATGATTCTATGATTCTAACTGCTGAACAGCCTTTTCTTTAGTACTGGCAGAGCTAATTGGGTATTTGGACAGGTCGCATCCATACTTCCATTTGCCTTTGTGACCAGCCTGACGTGTCCATGCACAGAAGGACATTCTTTATTCCGCATTAACACCTGGGACAGCACCTTGATCTCTGAGATGGCTTCAAGGAGTTACCACTGCTGTGCTGGCAATCAAAGAATTAGGCAGGCCTAATTTCCAGAAAACTGAATTACTTACACAGGACTGACACCTGTGTTTCTGAGCCACTCTGATGCAGAAATACTTCTCCATCACATTTTATCACATGCAACTAACAAAAAAGATAAAGACACAAAACTTACATAGTCATGGAAGGCTTTTGCTTCACTTGAGTGTTCACATGTTTCTCGTCTTTCTGGAGCTGCACAGTAGAGATCCCAAAATACACTGCAAGAAGTTACAGAGATGGTGACAATGTCATTGTAATGCCCATGTAGATTCTATGGTGTACACACCTCCCCCCACATGCATGTCCCTGTGTAGAAACAGACAAATCACTTTCTCTCCAAGGGATGAAAACACCTCTGAGGAAGAATTAAGCTTTGTAAAACACCTGTGAGGAATCAAGTCCTGCTGTCTGATCTCTGAGGCAAGCAGTGCTATTCCTTTAATAGCACTGTAGTACAAACCAAAAATGTAGTCCAATATATATGGCTTAAGAATGTAATGTGTATTAGTCTGTATTTAACCTCATCCCTCTGTAACTGCTCCAGTTAATTCCACAAGGATGGATTTGTAATAACACAGAAAGGAAAGAAACTGGAGAGATAACTGGGAGTCCTTCCAAAGTCAAGGTTCATAGAATCCCAGAATGGTTTGGGTTGGAAGTGACTTTAAAGTCCATCCAGTCCCATCCCATGCCATGAGGGACACCTTCCACTATCCCAGGTTGCTCCAAGCCCAATCCAACCTGGCCTTGGACGCTTGCAGGGAGCAGGCAGTCACAGCTTCTCTGGGAAAATGTCCAATATTGTCCTTAAACAAAAGTTCCAGAGAATCTAGTGTGTGGACAAGTGTACCAAATAGATGGGCAAGTTCTTGGGACATAAAAAAAGGAAATTAAGGTACCTACTCCCATTGGTCTTCCCCCAAACCTCTTTAGAGTTATACACAAATCAGATATAACACAAAGTTTCTGGAATGAAACTATATGCATGCTAGAATGATTAAAACAGTAAAATATGTCATAGTAGTTTTTTAATGGTTTAGACTTAATGCTTTATAACTTAGTCCAGCACCAGCTTTATAATCCTATAAATCCTTCCTTTATAACTCAGTCCAGGGCTTTGTGGACAATTTGAGCACTCTGCTGCAGACCATCAGAATTAGGGATAACGCAGAAATGAGAGAGAAGAAGGACACCTTCTTCTTGCTAGGCTTCCATCACACAGGTGAAAGCTATGAAAGAATGGCCAGTGAAAAATATGCCACCTTCCATGCAACTGTACACATCAGCTGGGTTCAAATGGGACCATTTTAAAACTTGTAAATTCTTGTACTGCTGACAGCTGGACATGTATTCTTTCAAACACAGGCATACTGGATATATTCAAACCATGTGACAAGGAATAAATGCCAAGGCTACACAGCAGTGACTTTGAGAATTCTACACACATAAATGTGGACTGCAGGCTGAGAAAGTTCACATCTGTACAGAGGCTCTGTATATCGGGGGTTTTTTCCCCAAATTCAATTATTTAGGGTATGTAGAATAATTCCTTACTTGTAAAACTTACTGGAAGGTGAAGAATGAAATGCAGGTCATTCTCTCCAGAAGATGCTTTTTTAACAGCACACAGGCAGTATTTCTTTTTTTTCTGTATTTCAGTATCTTTTTCTAAAGATAAATCTAATTCTCTGTTATTTCATTCCTTAACAAGAAAATGGTTCTTAATCCTCATCCTCCCATTCCTTTTACTATGTTCACCTGAATTTCTTTCCTCCAGCTGCTGGAACCAGCAATCAACATATCCTAAAACATCAGATGAAAAGAAAATTGGTACTTACCACCACCAAGAATGCAAGAATCCTGGGGGCTCCCCCAGCGTGATGTTTTTTTCCCATCTTATCTAAAACAAAACAATAAAGACAGAGATGTACATTTTTGTGATCATTGTGACTAAAAGGCAATACATAATTCAGGTATCAAAAAACCAAACAATTTTCACAGTTATTAAAGGCTTTATGATCATCAATCTGGATAGCTATATTACTTTATTACATCTATAGATACAGCTAATACTTAAAATTAGCATTTTTTTATTCTAGGGAAGCATATTTTAGGGTTTTTTTGCGAGGGGGAAAGGGGTGCTGAATACAATGTGTGTTATTTTAAGGTGAAAAATGCAGGACCAAAAAAAAAGTGATTATAAAATACCCTTAAAATCTTGAATATTTTGCAATTTGCACATAACTTGTGTTACGGATTCAGCAGGTGGCAGTGTTCCCCCCGCAGCCACAGTCAGCCAGTATTTTATAATCCTCAAGGAGTGCTTTAGTCAGAGGCAATATGGAAATTACAAGTAGCATCACAGTTATAATCCAGGCTCTCACCACTCAGTGAAAATGTACAGCTCTTTTGGCTTGGTTTTCTGTACTGGCAAGCTCTCCTGAATGCCTATACTGGCTGTGACTTCATTCCCACCCAGGAAACCTGGTTTGTTTAGCACTGTTTTCAAAGGAAATGCAGTTTAAGAACTCTTAACTCTTGACTTCACACTTCTGCAGTGACTGTGTTCTGCAATACTTCCCAAATGTTGTATCTTAACTATAATAACACAATCTTATTAACACCAGTCATTAACTTGTCCTTAAATCCAAAATTAAGTAGTTTGTGCTATAACACAGCCCACACCTCACTGTCCAGAAGAATGTCTGTCAGAACTGGGTGGAAACTGGGGCATTGTGTGCACTCCAAATTCCTCCAGTTACAAGGACACACAGCACTATTTCCTGTCCAATTTAAAAAAAAAAAAAAAAAAAAAAAAAAAAAAAAAAAAAAAAAAAAAAAAAAAAAAAAAAAAAAAAAAAAAAAAAAAAAAAAAAAAAAAAAAAAAAAAAAAAAAAAAAAAAAAAAAAAAAAAAAAAAAAAAAAAAAAAAAAAAAAAAAAAAAAAAAAAAAAAGTTAAAAACCCAAACCATATTCTTCTCCTCTAGGGACAGAAGAAGTGGCAGACAAAAGGTGGGTTATATGCGTAAACAGCCTTAATATGACAGATATTAGAGATATGTTTATGTAAAAATACACAAAAGCTTATTATTATTAATTTTCCAAAGGAGACTAAAACCTTGATTCTTAACTTCAATTTGATTTCTACATCCAGTTCTTGAGAAATTTAAACACATACAAGTTCTGTCAATAGATTGCAGAACAGTATGTTGTTCATACACCCAAAAATATTGTTCACATACTCATACAAAAATACATATAGAAAATCTCACGCTCACGTGAAGAAACCCAATGCAATTTTGACATATTATATAAATACAACTATTCAAACATAATTTTGCTGGTTTAATTTGTTTTTAAAAGATAACCTTGAGGCACTATCACTTGTGCTGGCAAAGGTGGCAGAATGAACCAACTCCCCTCACACACGTTAGGAGCTAATATGTAAAAAACATAATTAAAAAAGCTTTTGCTTAAGTGCTGGCTGAAAAAAAAATAATTAAAATCTATGATAAAGGCCAAAGCTACTACAAAGGTATTACACATTCTTCAAAAACACTTCTCTGAGGCATGACTGCTCCTCATGTACACTGGGAATGGCTTGGAAAGACCTGTATTAATAATCTGGAATGCACAGTACCTCTGAGAAATTCCAAAATAACATTATGAAGAGATGCATTGCACAATCAAAGGGAAAAGGGGGTCCTGAAGTCGAAATATGATTCAGTTAGGAGTAAAAATTTTGTCTGTAGGACACCCTCCCTATGTCTAAGCAGTATTTGTGCTCTTCAAAGCAGGGCTTAGTAAGGGAATTACCCAATTCCTCTTACATCCTAGGACGTATTTCACCTAGAGAAACTGAGCTGGAGGAATCTGAGGGGAATGTGGAAGTTCTGGGGCTCTTTTCAATGATTTTTGTTTTGTTTTTTCAAAATATTCACACACTTGCCTCACATGGCAGATATCAGTCTGACCACAGACACTTACAAAGAATTATTAATCTTAGAAAATAAATCCCTCATTGTCATCTGTATTGGTTAAGCTCATAGCCAGGGAATAATTAACTGGGAAACGCCCACCCTCCTGGTCCAAGCTAATGGAATTATTCCTCCAAGGCTAAAATCTAACTTTCAGGATAGAAAATACATGGGATAAGGATCAGATCTTCAAGAGAGATGTACATAATACATAGTATACACAAAGCATCACAAAAATATAGGGATGCTCAGGACAACTATCTCTAAGTTATCCAGTATCAGAGTGGATTCCATGATACCCAACTTAAATTTTCCTTTAATTTGGTTCAATGACTCTGAGCCACACTGCCTGGTAGATCTTTAAGGAAGGGCTCCTAACCTTTGCAATTTATACATATATACATACCACTGACTGCTGTACACATTCAATTTTGGAGCTACTCTGAACCGTTTAATCTTTAAGGAAATCCACCCAAAATGACAGAGCAGAGAGGGCACTGTGCCCCAACAGCCACACAACCACTCACAAGTATTGTCAGCACCACATTTACCCTTCTGCACTGCTAATTAATCAGGCAAATAAACTCACAGCTCCCACCAACTCTATACACTTTTAATTATCCCTGACCCACGTTTGGTAACTCTTGGATAGTATCAGTTTTAATTTGAAAGATTTGTTATATCCTCATATTATGCTGTTCAGACCTGAGAGTTCCTTTGCAACTCAAGACTGAATTAGTTTTAAAAGCTACATTTTTTACAGACCTTGTATTTAATGTTTTCTAGAAATCCAAATGTCATACCAGTTACACTTCTGCCAAGTGCTCATTTTGCAAATACATCATAAAAACAAGGTGAGCAAAATTTGTCTTGTGCAGTGTAGCATCTACAAATGGCAGCTGTTTTGGGAAAGCCAAAATGATATATTATTTTCTCTCTTAATTTTCCACTGCTTTACCAAAGAGAAAAAAAATTGTCAAAAATATACTTTACTATAAACTCAAACTGATACTACCACAATTCTACCCCTTTTCCTCATCTCTGTTCCACGAATTCTGTATAAATATCACAAATAACACTCTGGGTTCTCATCCTTCCCTCTTCAACCTCCAAAATGGCATCGCCAGCATAGTGATTTTATTAGCTTTTGGAGGAGGATTGGCTGAGTCAGCAAATTTTCGTAGTGCAACAACTTGCCTATTTTTTCCTGACTTCTGCTCATTATTCAACTGTTATTATTATCTTAAATATTACTGCCAAAGAAAGATTAAAAACAACAATAAATCCGAAAGACCTCACTATGTTCGGCACACATTTATATCATAGGTCAAACGTAAAATGATAAGGAGACATAATTTACTTCAATCTTCAAAAGTTGCGTACAAAGCCTTTGAAAGACTATGAAAAAAAAAACTTATTAAGTAAAGGTAAAAATTCCATTAGCAGTTGAAAATGTTTAAAAAAAAGGGACCTAAACGGTTGTAGGCAACATTGATTCAACAGATGAAAAGAACTGAAGTGGTTAAAAGCATGGTAAGAGCACAGAGAGATGCTCAACAGGAGAACTGATAGTTGCATGACAGTGGGATTTAGAATACATTATGGTGGTGTATTTTGGAAGGGCTCATAATTCACAATTGGAGATATCAATAGTAAGTTGAAAAGTCATAAAAAGAGAGTACCATTGGTGTGTTCTGTAATGTGCACATTTATTAGAGAAAAGAGATTAATCTTTCCCCAACATGGAATGGGGATAACAAACCACAGCAAAAGCAGTTACACAAACTCACGTAAAATGACACAGCAAACTAGCTTCCAAAGAATGAGAAACCTGTGCTGGTCAAGGCAAACCGGTATTCAAGGTTCTCACTACTGTTGTTCTAGACCCAATCGAGTTTTTCTCACTGGGAAGTTGTGCAAGGAAACATACCTCTGACAAAAACGTCTGGGCTGATTTCTGTGCTCCTACATGGAGCAGATATTCATATACATACAGCGCTAATCTGAAAAACAAACAGAAAGGACAATATTTAGTACTGTGCATTTGTTTGCTCCTCTTCTTTAGAGACAAAGGATTATCACAAGTTGCACAAGGTACACCCCACTGCCTCCCACAGCCCACGATGTAATGAATGTGTCAAACCTATCACCTGTATCAGAAGTTTTAAACTAGACATGTAGGTCAATTTGACCAGAGGTGTTTAAATAGTAGTTAATTAAGTATTATTAGACCCCTAAATTACTTAATGTCAACATTTTTAATGATATTTGGACAAGTGCCCAGTGAGCAAACAACTGACCTACCACTGCTCTCTCTGAGCATGCTTACTGTAAATACAAGATATTTGTACAGCAACACTGATGATTTTTCCAGAGCAAATTTTTTTACATGTGAATGTGTCAAGCTGTTAGCATACTTGAAAAATAGCCTGTGTTTATCCAAAGAACACGCAAACCTCAGGCTACATCAGGAAAAGCAATCTCAGCATCAATGCAGTACACCACATCTCTCAACTGAAGCGCAAACAGGCTTTCAGATTCACTCAAACTTGTGCTCTGATGACAACAGAGCTACAAACAACTATCACAGCTCCCAAAGGAGCTTTCCAAAGAGCCATTTCCAGACACATCTCCAAGGAAAGACAAAGAGCTGCAATAAGGATCTCACTATAGCAAGGGGACTCATTCCCTGAACGACCAACCACCACAACCTGGGCTGGGAAGGCCTGTGCAGCAGCTCAGGAACAGTGGAGCAGGAACAGTAACCAGATCCAATTGATACAGGCCACGTAGGCAAGATTTAAATTATAAAACCAAAGAAACAACACCTCCTATTTCTCTGATTCTCTAGAGGGGCTCCCATCTGTCAGTGCACCTAAGCCTTTCAAAATGAAATGCTGTGTAAAAGAATGATTTAATAATAATGATTGGAAATGGTCTATAAAACATTTCGGGAGGAAAAGGGAAAAAAGGAAAGGGAGGAAGAGGAGGAGGAAGAGGATGACGAGGAAGAAGAAAAAGAGAAGGAAGAGGGAGAGGGACTGTCCTTATTAGCTGAACTGCTTTTAAGAAGTAAAATGTACTTATATGCACTTACTGATACATGGCTATTTTTATTTGAAACATTCTTAGTTATCATATTCACAAACTTGCCATTAATTACACACAGTAGAGAGGGAAAGCATGTGTCTTCCTGTTACAGTTCAAAACCCCAGGCAATGCTAGATGTCATCATGGTACTGACAGAGTAGCAGTTATTGCAGTGACCTATTAAGTGTGAAATTTTAAAATCTGAGAGGCATTCCAGAGAAATTATTTTTGTTTGTTGTTTATACTTTGTACATGCAATACACAGACACACACACATTACTTTACTCTCCTCTCTGTTTAACTTCAAAAGCAAGAATGTATTTTTTTTCCTGAAACTTAAAACAAATATATATATTCAAACATGACTGGTTGTAATTTGCACTCTGTGAGTACTGTGGGAAGAGAGGATCTCTTAAAAGTTGACTCAATTCTTCCCAGTTTGATTGTCACCCAAATTTTAAGCAATAAATGGTTGTAGACGAAATCTAAGATAGACGTAATGGGCAGAGAGGAAGCACTTTTCTGTTACAGCCAAGATATCCTGAATACCCAGTAATGCTTTAAAGCACCTCATTTGTCTTACGGGACTCCTTTTTTTCTTCTTATCAAAGCATGAAGCCTGCAGTCCAGATAAAAGGATTTGTGGGATCATATCCTTTCTGCCCTGCAAATGAAAGCAAAACAGCACAAAACCCCAGAGTTTATTGCAAGGGTTTTCACAACCTCCACAAGTCTGCCATCCATTGAAAGCTTTAGCAAATACAGCACCACAATGCCCCAAACTGCCAGCACGAGACTGTAATAGCCAGAGAGATTTGTGACTCTCACCTCAGGGCCTCTGGAGGCTACCTGTGAAACACAGAAAAGCTCTAGCACAGCCCAACACCTCCACCCCTTTCCTATCATCTCTGGTCCAAAAATCCAAGATATTTTAACACTGCAAAAAAGACAGACCTAAAACTTTGACTTAAACGTACAGAATGTGCTAATTAAGCATTATGAAAACTCTAACATCTCCAACTCTTTGATATGTCCTATTACCTCTTGGGCTAAACACACTGGCAGTGAAATAAAATGGTGTTTAGTAAGTGTGTGGGGGGGGTAAACGTGACAGATTTCAGGTAAACAATAAATATGCTGGGCTTCCAAGTTGATCCACTTGTGGTAAATCCCACACTGGCAAGGGGACTGCCTACCTCCTGTGCCAGGAAAGCCAGGACCACCTTCCACTAACAGCTGTGAGACAGAAGGCACAACACAAAATAACCTGATTGAGTCTTATTAGATCTGTATCTCTGGTCCATCCCTTGTTATTATGCTGTCAGGAAGTCTTTACAGAATTTAACAATGTTATAGCTTCATTCAGAAATAAATGCATTTACCACAGAGATCAAAAGAAAGATACTAATGTTTAACGGTGTGGCAGCAAAAAGGATCAATGCAAACTGATGCTCTGAGGAAAGGCAGCTCAAAAGATGCAACACTGTGTAACAAGGAGGAATACCAGATACACAAACTTTAACTACAGGGTCAGATCAGAGTAAGATAAAAACCAGGCTACATTTCAAATGTGTACAATGAAGAAGTGAATAACTACTTAACATCTGGGCAGAAAACAACTGTGAGGTGGTCTTTGACAATAAAGGACTTGGGTTTGAAGTGACATTTTAGAAGACAGTTTTTAATCATTAAACTGGTGTGAGAAACCAAGTAAAAGCAGCAAGCAGACATATATTAAATTTTCACATTTGCATACTTGTTGACATCCCACAAGTAATGTGATGAAAAAATATTTCCCATCAATTTATGACAATGCTGAAGGAATTTTTTTTAAGACATGATATAGGCCAGAATTCCTTGTGCCCGGCCAAGACAATTAGAGCACACATTCATCTGTAGCCTGATGAAACATTCACTTCATTAACAAACAAAAAAGGTTACTGTCTAGCTCATTTTGTTAACCTAGTGCACTTTGCCTGAAGTTTCTGCTCTAATTGGACAAGGCATTCTTACATCCTACAAACACCTACTGAATTCCAAAGAAATGAACCAGCTAAGTGGTTCAAGTCAATCAGTTATAAATATTACCAGGAAATAAACAGTAATCCCTTTTGCTGTGCTTTGGGAATGACATTCTTACGTGTTAAGGTGGGAAGATGTAATTAGCTTAATGAGAGCTTACAACTGAAGCCTTACAGCAGTATTTCCATAGATGAAAAGGTGGTTAACTCACCCAATTCCAATCCAAAACACTAAGACTGCACATTACAGAAATGTCCCTAAGATGCTAGCACCTCCTCTGTCATCAACAGATATTTCGCTGTTAACATCTGATGCTGGATGTAAAAAAAACAAAGTACCTATAATGTAAAATACCTAGCATGTTCCAGATCTGAGCATCAGCATGATACATTTAACATTTTTAGACTGGAAAGACTTACTTTTTAAAAAACTGTTCATGTATGGAAGGTTCTGCATATGGCACACTGTCTTTTTAACCAGTGTTTTTTTACCATAATTTAAAAACTAGCAAATCAATACTTATATATAATTTTGAGTGAACAGTGAAAAATATCTCCATAGAAAACCCTAAATTCCTATTCACATTTCAGAAGACTTGAAGTATTCTAAAATCACTACTCTGACCTATGCAGAGAAGCAGCTATTTTGTTATTTGCAAAAAGGGATATCGACTCCATTTAAAATCCAGAGACTCCTTAGAATCTCGCTCATTTCATAATCAAAATACAATCAAATACAAATCTCACCCTCTGAAATAAGAGAGTGTAGCACCTTAAAACTGGGAGTTTCTTGAATAAATTTTCTTGAATCCGTTGATCCAGTATTTTAAAACCTGTTCTGAAGCTCTTGATAATGAGTTGGTTTTATTAAATTTGAATTAACAATGGCAAACAATATTTTTAAGAAAAGTGTTGTTTTTGTTGTGTTTTTTTTAACAAGTGTATGCCAAACCACTCTTTCTGGCCTATTTGATCAGACTGAGAGTAATTTTCCCTGCTCTCTCTCTCTCCCCTTATTTAGTCTATTAATAATATGCTAATATAATTTCCCCTATATTTTTAAAATCTTTTTTTCATTAATGGCCTTGACAATGCAGATTCACCTCACACACACCCCAGCACACCAGCTCTCCCAGACACATTGTTTCACCTACACACCACTGATATTTTTGGTTTTTTACCCTGAGTCCAGCAGGCCGCCCTTTCCAAGAGCCTCTAATCATGCCAATCTGTTGCCTTTTTTTTTTTTTTTTACAGCTCAAAACATTATTTATGTTAATGTATCTATGTTAATGTTAGTCCTCTGTACCCCTTCAACAATGTGACTGGTTTTCTTGGAAACACCTGGGTATGAAATGAAACCCAAACACTGGCTGAGGAAACAACAGTAAGTCCCGGAGGAGTTACTCAATGATCATTTGGGAATATGCACTGACTGCTGAGAGCTCCTGCACAGCCCTGCAAACACTGATAGAAAAAAAGTGAATGCATTCAACATGATTCACACCCATTTCTTTCTCCCTCTCTCCGTAGACAGCAGAAAACATTCCTGCATGCCCCTAAATACGTGGGGTTTACACTCGGTGCTACAATGAACAGTGGCCTTGGTGCCTTGCATTAGGTTGATGGTGCTTCCCAAGTAAGCTGATCCTTTCTGTTTATCCCCATTTTAAAGACAGGAAGAGCCTTCATCTACCACAACTCTGGGCAGGTAGACTCACCTCTAGTCTCTCCTCCACTTTCCTTGGAAGACGCCCTGAGACAATGCCTCTTAAAGTATGGTCACCCTCCCCTCCATTATATTTATTGCTTCAAGTGTTAAACCAATTCCAATCTATTGAGTTCTGCATTACTCTAAAAGCATTAAAAACAAGAGCAGGGTTTTTCAGTTC